ACCTAAGGTTTAGCCGTTTTTCATAAACAAACACTTCTCTATTTGTTGTTGGCTTTTGGTTGATTTCTGAAGTCCTGAAATAGTGGTTGGGGACAATTTTGCCCAGTTCTATAGTATTTTTGGAGAAAGGGTTTGTTAACCTCTTTGCTCTGCCACTGCTGCAAGTTGCCCATAGTACTTTTGGATATAAAATTTCAACCTATTTGGATGAAAGGTGCTAGGTGCACCATGTGAACTTGATACTGTTTTTAACTTTGGTGGTAGAAATAGATAGACAGATGTTTCTTTTTCAAGGGCAAGTAACAATAGGTCTTTATTCCAGCAACTAGGAAGATGCCAAGGGCCTGTTTTGAAAAACATATTGCTTCCCCTGGAAACAGATCTGAGAAAAGTATTTATATTTCTATGCTTTGGATAGATGATTTTTTTTCCTTTTTTTTAAAAAGTGAATTATAGACTCACCTCTCCTTCTTGAATCTTTACTCTGCTTTCCTGCAATCAGGAACCACATTACCCATGATCATATTTTTTTTCTTTATTGATTTTTTTTTAGAGAGAGAGGAAGGGAGAGGGAGAGAGAGAAACATCAGTGAGAGAGAATATCAATTGGCTGCCTCCTGCATGCCCCCCACTGGGGATTGGGCCCACAACCTGGGCATGTGCCCTGAGTGGGAATCGAACCAGCGACCTCTTGGTGCATGGGTTGACGTTCAACCACTGAGCCCCACCGGTCGGGCTAGATAGATGATTGTAGAACACCTTATGAACCTGGCTTAAGCATTGTATCATATATATATATATATATATGCACACTCACTCCTACATATATGTGCATGTATGTGTTAGCATAAGTAGCTAATTAAGAAAGGGAACAAATGGAATTGGACATTAAGCCTGATTCACAAGGGAGTCACAACATTCACAGGCTTTCCGAGGAACAGCCACATCCTCCGAGGAGGGGACTTTATTCCTGAAGTGGGCAGGAAGAATTAGCTACCAGTCATTAGCTGGGATAAAAACAGCAGTGGAAATTTCTTTGCTAGTTACGTGCACAGTAGAAGCCAAGATGGCCACATGAATGGTCAGAGTCTAGCCTCGAAAACCTGAGGGCAAGACTGGATGGGATGGGGGAGGACCCAGTATAAGCCTGGGAAAGATTGGGAAAGAGATTGGTTCGTTTGAAAGAAAACCTGCTCTCTTCCAAGCCTGAGGTAATATAATCAAATCTTAACAGAGAGCTGTCTCAGTAGCTGCTTTTGTTTGTGTGTTCACTTATTTCTTCACTCCTGTGCTCTCTCTTTGTAGCAGCTGTATGGGCCAAAGAGCTCCAACCAACTGAGTAACCTGGCCAGGACTTAAGTTATTTTTTTTAAAAACATCTTTTTATTACTTTCAACTTATTTCACCTTGACTGATCCCACTAAGTTCCCCCACTCTTCTGCTCATGTGTTCAAAAATCTTGCATAAGTCCATGACCCTTCTGCTCCGTCTCCCTTATCTTTGCACTCCTGTCCCACTTTCTTCCCTAGATTCCTGTGGCCTAGAGGAGCCTCCAAAGTCAACGAATGGGCCTGTGGGCAGCTCTGTCCCAGTCCCTTCTAATGGGCTCAGTGCCTCCTGTGACCTTCAGCCTCCTCCAGGCTATAGGCATGACTAATCTGTACCTTTTCTCAGGAATCACCAACAGCTCTCAGCTCAGCCTCTCTTTCCTTCACTACCACAGTCTAAAGCTTGGCGAGTCTGATCATGTGAATTCTGGTTGACAGAGTGTCCATTTACTCCCTGACCTTCAGGTCAAATAAGGTCTAATTCATATGCTTGTTTCTCCTTCTCTAGGCCTCTAAAACTAAGTAATGAAATTTGGTAGATCCTGAGTGTTTTCAACTACAAAATGGGGGAGATTACAATTTAGAATGTTTTGCTCTTTGTTACCCACTTCAATATATGGGAAATTGAGCAATAAAGTATTTCTGACACTCTGATACCAGTTCAGGTGTTTTTCATAAATACATTTAAAAAGTAAAAGGTTTTGTGATACTACATTGAAAATGATTTTACATTGCTTTTGCACTCCAAATTACAAAAGAATATCAACCAGTTGAATAGCTGATCTACATGAGGAAAATATGACTCCTTTGCTGTCAAATGCACATACACAGACCCATAGCTAACCCACAGTAAAAACAAAATAAAAACAAATCTTGTAGAATTCTGTGCTGTCCCTACCTGTGGCCACTGCATCAGATACATCCCAGGGAAAAGTAATCACATATTTATCTACTGAGAAGTGTCTTTCATGCTAGAATTGTAACCTGTATTACCAGTCCAGTTAGATTGGATGGACACAAAGGAAAAAACTGCTCTTATAGCAATATTGACATGATCGTCAGAAACAATTTAGCATTAAACTTGGTCACTGTGACTACTGCAGTCTGGTTGCCTCTAGGCTAGAAAGTCTAAGTTAATCATTTGTATACGATGATTCATCTTGTTAATGTAATCAGACTTGAGTAATGTTTCTAAATGTTGTGTCATTTTTTTTTTCAGGACAATAGAAGAATATCAGTGTGGAGTCCAGTTAGGATTAACAAGCCATCTTTTCACTTGTAAAGAACTGAAGCACCTGGAAAAAAAGAAAAGAGAATAATTTAAAAGTGTGTACATCCCTCAACTTTATGGGTGAGAAGAATAATAAATAGTTGAAAAATTGGACTGCTAAGTTTAAGGATATGAATAAATACATTGAAGTAGTTACTTATTTTTCCTTGGCCTCCATTTCTTCATTTATAAAATACGAAGCTGGATGAGATCAGAGGTTTTCACACATTTTTAGCAGTGGTTTAAAATGGCATGGGGAACACATATACACATATGATTTTAGTGTGATATAAATTTAATAAGGTCAATGTTTAACACAAGCAAATATGAGAACAATTTTGCTACTTTGAAGAATGCAAATGTTTAAAATTGCAGGTAAAAGATGACAGTTAAGGATTCAGTATGAAATTTATATTTGCATTAATTTTTTTTTTTTTTATCCTCACCTGAGGACATTTTTCCATTTTTTGTTCTGATAGAGTGGGAGGGAGAGAGAGAGAGAAACATCGATGTAAAAGGGACTCATCGAGTGGTTGCCACCCGCACAACCCAACCAGGACTGGGGACAAACTGCAACCGAGGTACATGCCCCTAGTGGGAACCGAACCTGGGTCTCTCTGGACTGCAGGCTGAGGCTCTAACCACTGAGCAAAACTGGCCAGGGGTGCATTAATTTGTTTTAATTGCTAAGCATGGAGGACATTCTGCACACAGAAATAACTGTAAGTGACAAGAGGTTTCTTTGTTTTGTTTTTTAAATTTGTCTTGCAATCTATGGACAGTCTTTAAAGTCTGTATGAAAACTTGACAACCCTTTTCATTCATTGGTGGTCTCTAATTTGCTAAAATTTTACATTTAGTATATCTAAATGTGTGTGTTTTAAATAGGAATTAGAGTGGATTTACCATCACATACACATTTTACTTGAATATGTAGAAAGAAAGAAAATAAATAAATAAATAAAAAATACTTAGAAAGAAAGAGGTAGAGAGGGAGAATAATTAAAGAACTCAGATATTCATTCTGCCCTTCGTCCCTGGGTTTTGTTTGTTTTTGTTTTTTTTAATCCTCACCTGAGGATATTTTTTCTTTGATTTTTAGATAGAGTGGAAGGGAGGGAGGGGGAAAGAGAGAGAAACATCAATGTGAGAGAGACAGACACATCTGATTGGATGCCTCCCACACAACCCTGACAGGGTCAGGGGAGGGAACCTGCAACCCAGGTACATGCACTTGACCAGGAATCAAACCCTCAACCTTTCAGTCTGCAGGCTGATACTCTAACAGCTAAGCAAAACTGGCCAGGGCCTTGGGTATATGTTTTAAATTACTATTTTATGATTATTTAAAATATAATCTTGTGTTGCCTATTTTCATTTTTGCTGTTATTGTGAGAGGAAAAACAAAAATGTTATCAATTATTTAGTCTGATCCAGCAAAACCATCAATGCAAGTTCTCATCTGACAAAGCACAATGGAATTACACATACATATGTTAATACTTGTGGGTTGTTTTAGACATTTAATTGGAAAGTTAAAGTTGGATGAAAAAAATGTTTCTCTAAACCTATGATGTATTTCTCTTCGGCCTTCAGTTTCTCTTAAAAAATTTTTTTTTCTTTATTGATTTTAGAGAGAGGAAGGTAGAGAGAGATAGAAACATCAATAAGAGAGAACATCAATTGGCTGCCTCCTGCATGCCTCCACTGGGGATTTGGCCCACAACCTGGGCATGTGCCCTGACAGGAATCAAACCAGCAACCTCTTGGTGCAAGGGTCAATATTCAACCAGTGAGCCACACAAGCCAGGCTGCTTTTAGCTTTTCTAAAGTTGCCTATTAAGTGTGCAGAAAAGCAGAAATTTAATTTTTAACAATGATAGTATGTTTCTTTTATCAGCATATATTTCCCAGGTAGTTTCAGGGTCAACTCTCCAAAGCCTCCAGTGCTCTGCATTGAGCAGCAGTACAAGACTGTAGCAGTTGAACTCACTGAGTACAACTGGGTAACTTCCAAGTATCATTAGTTGATTAGAAGTGCAGTAATGAATAGATTGTAATGTGGCATTTTGCACTCAAGTTGTGATTCTCAAAAGACTGGGATCTTTAAAATATCTTAATCCACAGCAATTCTCATTTTTAATTTTATTTTAAAATAAAAAGGAAAACTGCTATATTGGGCAAAACATGCTGACTTTCTTTTGTCAGCATCCAAAGTCATGCTTGTTTAGTGTTAAAGGATTAAAATATTGGACAAGATTTTAAAATGAAACTTGATTTATACACTTGTGCCATTGCAAATTCCCACAGAACACAAAGGTCTGGCTGATTGGTTTTTTTCTTTCTGAGTAATTATCATTCAGTTTATTGATCTTACCTTTTAGAGAGAAATGACATCAGTGTTATGCTATAGGGATAGACCAAGGTTTAACTGTATTAGGGTCATCTCTTGGGATCTAAAAGAAAGCACATTAAAACTTAATATCATAATACCATTGCAATATTTCACCAGGTAAATTATATCAGATCTGTAAGTTTGGGAAACTCTTTCTGATGGGAGGAGGCGGGATTTTGCTGGGGAATGGGACTGGAGCCTTCCTTCCCAGTGACAACTCTGAAAGACAGTGGGGATCTGGAGCTGTGATTTCTGCTGCACTTCCTGTTGCTAAGTAAGAAGGCACTAGATTAGTTACCTATCTTCTTTGCTTCCAAGAAGCAAATCTCAAAGAGAATTATGTATCCCGTGAAAGCATTTGTGGGGTTAGAGAGGATGGAAGAGGGGAGTGGATAGGCTGAGAGTTGTTTGCATTGGAGTCTATAAACCTGGACTCCTGAGCAGTGATTTGAGAGCAGCTCTGTCTGCACCTTTAGCCAAATGATTTTTGTCCAGTACCCTTGCTAGTTAAACCCCAGGCTCATTTCACTATCGTGGGCTATAAGGCCCAAGAACTTGACCTGTTTATCCTTTATTCTTGTGGTCCTTAATTCCTGTTTCCTCTGCTGGGAATTCTCTATCTTAGGTTTGGGTTCCCCCAAAAAAGAAATTACATTCCTTGCCTTTACTGTTGTCATTTTTTGTTGTTGTTAATTCTTACCTGAGGACATTTTTCCATTAATTTTTAGATAGAGTAGAAGGGAGAGAGGGGAGAGAGAGAGAAACATCTATTTAGGTTTGGGTTCCCCCAAAAAAGAAATTACATTCCTTGCCTTTACTGTTGTCATTTTTTGTTGTTGTTAATTCTTACCTGAGGACATTTTTCCATTAATTTTTAGATAGAGTAGAAGGGAGAGAGGGGAGAGAGAGAGAAACATCTATGTGAAAGAGACACATCAGTTGGTCGTCTCCCACAGGACCTGACCAAAATCGGGACTGGGGATCGAACCTGCAACCCAGGTATGCGCCCTTGACCAGGGCCGGGGAAAAACTGCAACTGAGGTACGTGCCCTTACCGGGAACCGAACCCAGGTCTCTCTGGACCGCAGGCTGACGCTCTAACCACTGAGCCAAACCAGCCAGGGCTCGACTCTTCAGTCTGTGGGCCGATGCTCTAACTGCTAAGCCAAACCATCTAAGGCATGGTTTTTTGTTGTTTTGTTTAAAGAGTTGACTTTCAGTTATGCAGGCGTAAAAGCACAAACTTCTCATAAATAATGAAAAGTTATGAGGATTATGAAAAGCTTTTCTCCTAATATTTATTTCACAAAAGTACAAAAAGAAGACAAACAAAACAATCACCCAACTTCTATCAGGATATCTTTACAAATTCTGTTCTTACTGTTTGTTCTTAATCTGTATTGAAATGTAAATGAAGGGCTAGGTTTGCCCTCCTCAAAGGGACTTCTCTGATTCTCTACTTAGCTGCTGCTACGGGTATCTTATTTAAAATCAGCCTGTTCCACCTGGGCTGGGCTGGACACTGGATGAAGCTCCTCAGCTTAGTCTGAGGTCAATTCTGGTCAATTCTTCTGTTAAAGGTGATGGTAATTTTTAGTCTCTCCCAGACTATTCTTTTCACCATATCTGGGTTTCTGGAGTACCTTTTTGCTTTGGTACTCAGATCAATACTCATTATCTTACTACCCCAATCTTCTTGGGTCATACTTGCTCCCTGGCTCCTTGAGTGAGGACATAACTTTCTATTTCGGTTTCAGAGCTCCAGACCTGGGACTTAAGCTGTTCTTCCTTGACCTTTGGTGACCTTCCCTTTATCTTCTCCCTTTCTTGGTGCCATCAACCCCTTCCTCCCTCCTCTTTCTCCCTGGTTGGTTCTTTGATAGATACAATGAAGGTAACATATTCATGATGGCCACCAAGACTGACCCCACTTTTCGTTAAATCTCAGCTTCTGAGCTCTGTCCCTGTCCAGTCTCACTGGTGTCAAAGCCTAGTGTCAGTGGCAGCTGCTGTCAATCCAGAATTCTTCACCATCATCTTCATCATCATTATTGTGTAGTAAAGGGTTAATTTAGCACACCTGGATTGTCCAAACCCTGCACATTCTAAAGAAAGATTTAGCCCTTGACCAACTCCTAGGAGATAACACCTAAACCCTTGAAATACCCTGCTGATAAGAGTGTCTTTGTTTACCTGAGGCTTTGGGCCATGTGACATCATCTGACATCTGGAAGGGCTGAACACTGAGAGACTCAGGTCAGCTATGCAGTGACCTATGCTATGCTACTGATCCCTAATAAGAAGTCTGAATGCCAAGACCCAGGTAAGCTTTCCTGGTTGGCAATACTTTGTGTATCTTCTCACACATTGTCGCTTGGAGAATTAAATGCTGTCTGTGTGACTCCACTGGGAGAAGACCTGGAAGCTCATACCTGGTCTCTCTGGACTCTGCCCTAGCTGCCTTTTCCCTTTGCTGATGTTAATCTGTATACTGTCACTGTATTCACTAGAATAAACCATCACCATGAATATAATAGCATTCTAAGTTCTGTGATTCTATCTAGTGGATCACTGAAACTGAAGGTGCTTTGGGGACTTCTGACTCAATCACCATCATCATCAACATATATTGACCATTTCCTATGTGTGGTCAACTGCTAAATGCTTTTCACGTGTTATTTGAACTTTATAATAACCTTGTAAAGTAATTATCATTATTCTCTCCACACACCTCTCTTCCCATTTTATAGATAAGGAAACAAAGTGATCAGAGAAAGTAAATGAATCATGAAAGGTAGAGCTGAGAATCCAACCCAAGTCTCTCTGACTCCAGGGCCATGTCCTAACTAAGTTAAAGTAGTGTGTTGTTACTGAAAGGAAGGACAACAGGCCTCTCCCTTTCTTTGTTATAGCTTTTCTACAATTTATGAGAAGCACCTAGCAATTAAATCCCAAGATTGTTGGCTCCTCTGTTCAAACTATGAGACGAGATAAGGCTACACTGTCCCCCACCCCCTCCTGTGTTAATAGCTTCAGGATGATTCGCACTAAGTAGTCTTTGGTTAGTGAGAAGTTGAATTAGGATTCCTCCTCTTCCTCTCCCCCTTCCTTTCCTCCTCCCCTTCAAACAGGCCTCCCCTTTGAACTCTTCATAGCTTTTTTTTTTTTTTTTTATCCTCACCCGAGGACATTTTTCTATTTTTTGTACAGATAGAGTGGGAGGAAGAGAGAGAGAGAGAAACATCGACGTGAAAGGGACACATCGAGTGGCTGCCACCCGCACGACCAACCAGGGCCGGGGACAAACTGCAACCGAGGTACATGCCCTCAGCGGGAACCGAACCCGGGTCTCTCCGGACCGCAGGCCGACGCTCTAACCGCTGAGCCAAACTGGCCAGGGCCATAGCTTTTTTTCTAAGCTTGTTTTACAGGGATGGGAAATGTTGATACCGCAAGTCCTCTGTACATTTGCCTGACCACCTCCTGGAAACCAAACAACTGTAACTTTTCAAGATAACTCCCAGCATCTGGTTACAGCTGAACTGCTAACTTAACAGAACCCTCTCCCTTCCTTATAACCTCGCAACAGCAAGGGTTTACTCTTTCAAAGCCTAAGCCACTCCTTCTTTGGGGCCCGGTATGGCCCTTTCCTCCCGGAGAAAGTAAAATAAATTTCCTTGCTGCATTTCTTCTTCTTTGTGAATTCTTTCACAACCCATGTCACCAAACATCTGAACAGTTACTCCTTTCCCTGACCAGATAAGACGGCTACTGTTTTCCTGCTCCACCTTCTGCCATGCTCATTCCCTCTCTTACTCTGAGGAATGCCTCCAGCGTTGCTCTTCCTTACTAGTGCTCCCCCCATCTCTCCTCTTCTGATTCTCCCACCGAAAGGAGTAACCTTCCAGAGAGCAGGTAGGAGAGTTTTTAGATTCAAAAATATACACTTAATAACAGTTTCTGATAATCCGCCTTCAGTAGTAAGAAAGTAGTAAGTAGTGTGAAGAGTCCAAGCACTGAACAGAACAGATTCGGCCCCTGCATCCTGGGACCATGTTCAACATGGAACCAGTTTCACAGCTTGTTAGAGTGCCAACCTCTTCCAAGACAGAGTGACAGGAAGGGAGAAGAATGTGTAGTGTGTGTGCATGTGTGTGTTTGTGTGTGCACATGTATGCGTCTCATTGCAACAGGATGCAGGCTCAGCACTCTGAGGAAGGAAGGCATTGTGGGTGTCTCCTCTCTGCGTTGTTTCCTGAGTCATGCAGTCTGCATCTGTGTTCTGTCTCACAGGATCCATGTGGCTGGGTGTGTCTGTGCTACTTTAAGACCCTGCCAATTATCGGTGGCTTAGCTTCCAGCAGGACAGTCAGGAGACTGCATGTTTCTACGTGCTGTGGGTGTAGGTTCCAGAAACACAGGAAATAGAATGCAGTCTCGTAGGACAGGCTGCACACCTCTCCCAGCTCAGAGAAATGCAAGGCTGTGCGTTGGATTTGAGGGTGAACCAGCTAGGAGTGGTGTAGGTAAAACAAGGCTGCCTGCAGCACTGGAAATGCTCACGTCTCTCTTTCTACACCTGACAGGAAGGGCTGCCTTCACTGAACTAAGCAGGTGGCATTTTTAATGCTACCAGTTCTCACGGAGTCTGAGCATTTAGAAATGCAACAGAAACAGGGAGGGAAAATGAGACGGGGTGGTGAGGGGAGACGGGGTGGTGAGGGTGGTAGTGATGCAGAAGGAGAGTTGGAGAGGAGGCTGGAGAAGGGTTTGCAGAGCGAGGAATGTAAAGGCCTTCAGAAATCAGACACTTGCTGACCTTATAGAACAGCTATTTTAAATTGGTGTGCATGGCACACTGGGTGCTGCAAGAATTTTTTTTTTTTTAGCCTGGATGTCATTATGTATGTATGTATGTATGTATGTATGTATGTATGTATTTAGGTATGTGCCCCTAGCGAGAATTGAACCAGGGACTCTCTGGTCCGCAGCTCCCACCGCTGAGCCAAACCAGCCAGGGCTTGCTGCAAGAATTTTTAAAACATGCAATACCTGACTGTT